AGCAGAGACTCCGCAAGTCTTGAGGCAGCTTTGGCCACATCAGGTCGTGTTGTGGTTGCTGCGTAATTGATGGAACCAATTTTGCGTTGGTATAGTTGAATGGATTCAGCAGAGGCTTCGTAATCCTTTGGAGCAGGTGCTGGGTCTGTTGATAGAGGCGTCAAATGACCTCTGGTGGATGGCTGGAGGTTGAGGTCCTTCATCTTTTCAGTGATGTAGTTCTCCAGAGACAGCCAGAGCTTGCGCTGGCTACGATCTCTGACCACTCTGATGCCTAAGAACCATCTGACCTCGCCAAGTTCTCGCATCTCGAACAGAGACTTGAGCTGGCTCTTCAGCTCTTCGGCCGCTTGGCGATCCTCTTTGCGGTTCATGAGGATGATGTCGTCAACGTAGAAGAACATGATCATGCCTCTGCCCATGAAGACACAGTTATCTTCCTCGAGAGCCACGAGGCCGATCTTCCGCATAGCCTCGGACAGCAGCTTGTGCCAGAGAAGCGGTGATCGGCGCAAACCGTACAAAGCTCTCTTCAGCTTGAAAATCGTGCGCCTCTGTGGAGCGCCCTTCTTCTGTTGCATCTCCTGCATGAGATCCCAGCCCTGAGGGGCCCAGACGTAGACTGTCTCGTCGAGGTGTGCATTTGGAAAGGCGTTGACGGCATCCAACTGGTGCGTGTCTAGGTCAAACTCTGCACAGATGGCCATCAACGTTCTGAACGTCTTGGCTGCCAGTGTCGACGCGTATGTTTCCATCTCATTCTTGGGCTGTTGGTCTCCTCGTACGCAGAGCCTGGCCTTGAACTTGGTCACGTAGCCGGTGGAGTCAACCTTGTATTTCCAGACCCAGGTCAACCCGAGAACCTTGTGTATTTCCTGGTCGACCGATTCGAAGGGGACTTGCTCGATTGTGTCCATATTTTCAATGGTGTTGACCTCCTGGACGCTTGCTTCTAGCCACTGCTTTTTGTGATCAGAATGAAGCATCTCCTTCCAGGATCTTGGCTCCGCGGGCATATCTGTTCGGAGAAGCGGTTTCTTGTTCGATGGAGTCTGAGTGTGAAAGAATGAGTATTCCACGGTCAAATGTGATGATGGAGGCATTTTCTTGCTGCGGCGGGCTCCTAGAGCCTGGTCGGTGGGGGTGCCGTCTTTGAACTGTGACGGCTTTCTGTCTCTAGCGCTCCTTCGAGTGCCTTGGATTTGTGTTGATGGCGACGGCTGTGGGGCTGGTGCCACTGATGGTCGGGCCTCCACAGTCTCTGTCTCGTCTTCAGCTGAACTTTGATCAGCTGGTGTGTGTTGAGGTGTTGATTCAGGGCTCCGAGCTACTTCGATAGTGTCTTCAATAGCCTCTTCAGTCACTTGAATGGTGTCTGGCACGGGGATCGTGTCTTCCACAGCATCTTCAGCCCCTTGAATGGTGTCTATTACGGCATCTTCCACCCCCTCAGAGACAGCTGGCTGGCCTTGTCCAGTCTCCGTCTCTGGAGTTGGACGTGGTGACGGCAGGACATCATCTCTGCTGGCTGTGTGACCTTCCCGGGGTCGCAGTATCTCCGCGTTGATCTTTCCTCCAAGTTGGAATGTCCGGGCTTTCTCGAACAGGTCGATGGTGGCAACATCGAACTCGTCAATGTCCAGTGACGAGTTGAAAGGATTCTGGGCGTCCGCAACGGGCACGTCCAAAGCCTGGAATTCGTCCTGTAGAATTGGCTTTGGGGATTGGGCGTCCTTGAAAACTGTGGACTCATCGAAACCCACGTCTCTTGTCCTCAATACTGCTTTCATCTCTGGAACCCAGATTCTGTATATGTTGCTGCTGTCGTATCCACAGAGATAGCCGATGTGGGCTCTCGGAGCCAGCTTCTGCTTTCGGTTACGTCCCTCTTGGGCGTCTGCCGTGAGAGGATACGCCCTGCATCCGTATCTTCGCAGGTGAGCCAGGCCTGGAGCCGTAGTTCGAGCGGCAAGGCCCTTGGAGTTGAGCCAGTCGTTCAGCCTTCCTTCTGGTGTCGCCCACTGTAGGCGTCCCTTCGGCGTGAGATTGTGGAGATATGCAGCGGTTTGTACCACCTCTGGCCACAAATCCTCCGGGAACCCAGCAGCCGAGGTAAGGGTTCTTGCGATGGTGAATATCGTGCCTCCATTGCGTTCTGCGGCACCGTTCTGTTCTGGTGTCCTTGCGGCTGATCTCTCCAAGAGAATGCCGCGCTCTTCTGACCAAGTAACCAGATTGCTGCGTAGTGCTGAGTCCCAGTCAACTCTCAGGACCTTGATGACCAGATGGTACTGTCTCCAGAGAAACATCTCAAAGTTGATAAACGCCTGGAAGCCATCTGCTCTGGCAGGCAGAATCCTGACAACAATCTTCCCCGAATATGCGTCCGTTATTACAAGGCACGACTCCATGCCGTTGTACGACTTCCCAGGGCTGAAGAAGTCCAGGTTGACGCGCTCAAATGGATTCGTCGTCGTGTACGTTGGCTGTCTCCGAGATACAATCTTCTTGGATTTCGCTACCCCGCAAGACTCGCATTCGAATGTTGTTGGCCCTTTCACCCCAACTCCAGTACAGCTGTATGGCAGCTGCTGTATGGCCTCTGGGTGGGCATGAGCCAGCCGTTCGTGCCAGAGCCTCGAGTCGCTGACCATCGCGGCTCTCTGCTTCTTGGAGTGATAGAAGGAAGTGGTGCTATGTAGGGTGTTCACCGCATACTGGCCACCCTTCTCCTGAAGTGGGATCTCTGAGCCAGTGGCTGGGTTGAACAGCATGTTCCTGAGGGAGTCCAGTCCGAGTCCTTGGCGTTGGAGCTGCCTGGCTGAAATAAGCGTCGTCGGGTAGTCTTTGATGTACGAGACATCATGGCAGGTGATGCTGATGACGTTCTGCTTGCTGTCGAGGGTGTCGATGGCCATCGTGCCATGCCCTTCGACGGGGCTTGATTTGCCTCCTCCTGTGCTGTATCTTACAGTGTCGGTGGCCTCGCGAAAGTTGGTGAGGAGGTCTTTGTTGTTGGTTATATGGTTGGGTGTACCCGAGTCGATCAGGAACTCGTGACGGAGATCCCCTCCTCGGTTTGTCCGTTGAAACTCGTCCGAATCAGCGACGGAGAAGTTGCTCATGAAGTTGGTGTACTCGTCATCGCAGCTCTGTTCATCATCGTCACCGAGGAAGTTGTTAAAAGCAGAGACGGCGACTCCACTGGTGCCTCTTGCCTCCTGCCGCTTCTTTTTGTCCTCCTTGATTTTCTCGTTCCAGAATTGCAATGTGCTTGGCTTCATCCTTTTCTTCGCTTCGTCAATGTAGTCCAGCAGGCTCTGATCGGATTGATAGCTCTTCTTCCTCCGGTGTTCCGCGATATTTGGGCACAGACAGATGGGCTGACACGCCTTGGGTGCCCTCTTCTGCTGTACACAGTCGCAGAATGGTCTGCGAGAAGGCGAGCTGTTTGGCTGTTGAGGAGAGTCACGATGGGAATCCTGGGCACTCGTCCGATCACTTTGACCATTCCGGTCCTTGCCCATGAAGGTCACCGAGTCGCTGTAGAAGGACGTCTGAGATGGCTTGGTGGTGAGGCGATGCGGTTGGTAGTCTCTAAGGTAGCTCTTGTACCTCAACGCCAGTACCTTCCCTCCATCACGATCATCCAGCTCCCGGCGAACTTGGTGGGCGCACTCTGCTTCGGCCCACCCTGGAGACACGGAAAGAATTGCCCGAAGGAATTGAACATTTTGATCTGCGGCTTCTTTAAGCTGAGGAATCCCGTGCTTCTCAACTTCGATACAGAGTAGGATGAAGTCGTCAACCCACTTCTCATGGTCCATCTTCTTGATCATCGCCATATGCTCCTCCCAGCGCTGGCGAATGTATTGTTTCTGTCCCATGTCGGAAGGGGCGAAGTGGTCCTTCAACGCCTTGAGCCACTCCTGGCTGCTTTCCTCGTTCATGAAGACGGCCGAAAGGCTCCTGTCGACTGTGTTGAGGATGTATTTCTGGACCTCCTGGAGGCCCGCTGACTCCCTGTTGTAGATGTCCAAATGGATCTTGTACAACGTCAGCAGTGTGCTGAGATCTCGCGTCTCATCTTCGAATGACGGTGCTGTTGGCTTCTTGGCCCTCTTGGGCCGCCTGTCAGCCTCTTTGTCTGGGTCGACTAGATCCCAGGCCTCGTAGGAGGTCGCCACGGCTCTGACGGAGTTGAGCCATGTCCTCCATTCCTCCCTCCTTGTAAGTGTCACTCTGTGCTTACCAGAGTCCATCTTGAGGATCCCTGGGCGTTGTCGGAGACCGTCGGGGAGGTCGTTCGATGGTCGCGACTGATCGCGTGTATGTTGAATATCATCAATTGACCCCGCGTGTACTCAAGCCCTAGGCCACACGTCTCGGAGGTTCAATTGGTCTTGAGGAGCTGATTTCTCCTGCTTCGATGTGTCGTGGAGAGATGATCGCTCTCCTGGAGGATGTCGGTAACGGCCCTTGGCCAGTGGTCGTCAATGGCGAAACGTCGCGTCAATTGACTGTTGAAGTGCAGCGGCGATTCAGCTGTAGACAGCTTCGCAGCAGGCGTATTGGCCGTAGGCGCCCTGCTGTAGATATCGAAGGTCAAGGAGCTGTATCGTCGCCCGGGCTCATAACTGTCACCACGGAATTGAACAAAGTGGATTGATTGTTGTTAAGGTACAAAAGGAGACTTCCAGAAGTCCAAACGAAGGTAATTGGTCAGATCCAGCATCGGTAAGGAGTCTTACCGGGGCGATAACGACAGAACAAATGCATCAAATGAGGACTCCACATTTGGGATGAAAGTACTCCTGGGTCACAGAACAGAACCTTGCCTGATCGGCAACACCTACCTACTTGGTATTGACCTCGGATATAGGCACCGTGCACTCACGATGAACACACTCACACATGATCTTTCCATCTCAGAGCCAATGCCCAGAGCCGACACTCTCAGCTATGCGGAGCATCATTTTCATAAAGAATATTCACTCTAGATGCCCCGAAAGACATTGATCCTCGCCGGAGCCCCCCTCTCATCCGCCCTGACCTGGGATCCCTCTGGCCTGCTGAACGACTTCTCACCCCCCTTCACGGCGTTCCTCAGCGACGACAACCCGCCAGACATCCCACCATCCAGCAACCCATCATGGCGCTCCCTGCCCCTGACGCGCCAGCGTCTTGAGACGGGCCTCTCGCAGGTCCACGCCTACCCCAACACCCCCGCCTTGCAACCAGACGCCAACTTCTTCACAACGTCCCTCACCACATCAACCCCGAGCTCCGGCTCTCACGACCTCACGACCCAGTTCTACGACCACTCCCTGGCGCACCACACCGCCCTCCCCTCCTCCCCCGTCCCCGGCCCCGCCGAAGAAACAACATCCTTCCTCACAACCTCGACCTCCTTCGCCTCAAACCCGCCCAGCGAGCCTCCACTCCCCAGGGCACCCACCCACCAACCCCTCCACCTCTCCGACCTCGAAGACGTGCCCCCCGCCCCCTCCCTCCTAGCCCTCCACCCGCAAACGGTAACCCTAAACCTCATAGCCGGCGTCATGGCCCCCTCGGCCCGCGCCCCGTGCGCACCCGCTACGGCGCAACGCTGCACGTCCTCGAGCTGCTGCTGGGGCGACGAACACGCGCGCCGG